TTATGCATGCCCTCCAGTACCTTTGGGAAGATGTAAAACTCTATATATGATGAATGGAATCTGTGACCTCCTGATGGTTTCTAAGATACTGCTTTAAATAAAAAACTGACTGATTTTATATCTACCAAGGGTTATTTTATTCCCTTTCAACATGGGTAAGCAAGAATATTTTGGTGAAGGGAAGATTTCTGAATGTGTTCTCTCACTGGAGCTTGCGCAGGTCATTGCAGGGAGTTACTGTGTATTGGTGCATTGAAATTGGGGTTCTGTAGGCTAAAACATTATCTTCCCAGTAGGCTGAAGCTGAAAGCAAAGTGTGTCCTAATTCCTTTAATAATTCCAGTGAGGTCTGGTAACCTTATAAACCTTTACATGTCCAACACCTGACTGGTGTTGGGTTCAAACCATGAATCATTCTGATGGACCAATTAGACTTGTCCTCTTAAGACAAGCAAAAGTGTGAGTGAGTAGCCAAGGCTGATGTGGAGGTGGCTTTTCAAATGTGGTGGTCTCACTCTTGTGCCCACTGTTTTTTTGATCACACCTTCTTACCGCTTTTCAATGTTAGGTCTGAGTTTAGGACAGAAGTATCAACAGCTTATATTTTCCTCTTTTTACTTGCCAGAAAATGTTTCAGTTTTTAAATGTAGTCTTAACTGCAGCTTCTTAGTAAGATCTGCGTCCACTCAGTGAACCTTTACAAGATACTTCAAAGTACCCAATATTCTCTTTTGGATTATATGTCAAGAAAAAATATCTTATGAACGCATTTTTTACCTTGTTATTTATGTGAATTGTAGATACTTAAATGAAATGCTTGTGCAAAATTAGGTCAATGAATCTCTGAAAGTTAAATGTGTTCTGTGGAATGGAAATTAAGAGTACAATGAGAAATAACATGAGCTAAAGTACATTGAAATACAGAATTCAGGAAATGAACAGTTGGAATTCCAGCCCTCACTGCTGCTATCAGAACATGAAACTGAAGCAATATTTATTATTAATGAGTTAATGAGTAAATGTGCCTAGTCTTTCTATTGGCAGCATGCTTCTGTCAACTAATTCACCTTGCAAAGAAAAAAATCTATACTTTTTAATATGGATTTCATGTGTTATAACAGATTCTAATCCCTGACTTCTCCAGAGATAATAATTGTTCTGTTCTATAGAAAAGCTCTTTTTTTGGGATAAAAAGACCAGCTTTTGAACCTGGGCCTTGTTAATATATGGTTAAAAGTAGAACCTACTGCAACCTTCTGTATCTCTGAATCTGTGATACTGGGTAGGCTTCTAGAAAATATGAAATCCTTTTACTGAATGTGTTCTTCCAGTGAAAAGCATCTAATATATGCTACTTGACCAAAAATTTCTAATTGATGATCTTGCAAGAAAATTGTCAGCAGGAATAATTTATCTCAGCTGGCAAAATAAAAAGCAATCAATAACAAAAGGCAAAATAAATACAGTAATAGCTGTATCTGATTGCTTAAATGAAGCATTCCATATGCGTTATTATGCATAACAGCATGTGAAATGCACTTCACGTATATGACATTGGTGCTAGTTTAGTAAATTATGAAGCATAGCAGAGTGAACAAGGTAACAATAGTGGACAACATTATTTGATCTAAAAATCTCTTTAAAAAAATAAAATTACATTTGTTGCTTTGTGGTAATTATGACTACAGATTTTGTAATTTTTAAATAGGCTTTCTCTCATCAGAGGACTTGTTGAGCTGCTGCTGACTGTGTTCATAGCACAGTGACAAAACCAGAACTATTGATCCCTGTGAGCTCTAGGGCACTACCCTGAAGCTAGTTTGGAAGTCACAAGAATATCCAATTCCTGTTGACTCTTATCCAGGGTAGGAAATAGAATTTACAAGGCAGTAACTGTTCTTTAATGATCTTCTCCTTAACCTTCCCTACCTGACAATTGGGTTTATTGGTTTCCCATGCCTATCTGGAACGCCTGCTGTTATAACATTTTAAGGAGGAAATTATATCCTGCTGAAAGCTAATAATAATTTTGGCAATGTCAAGAGGAGTGAGAACTTACACAGAGAATTCTCTTCAGACAAGGACTGGAGATTAAAACAAATGTGAAGGGATTAGGTGTTCTTGACAGGTGATCAGTCAGAAACAAAAATGACACATGGTGTGAGGACCCCAGCTGGACCCTACAAAGGCATTCCAAGTCCTTGAAAAACTGGGACTTCTAATCTGTTCCAGAATTTTTATAAGTTCAACATCCTTAGAGAATTCCCAGCCAAACTCAGATTAGTAGGAAGAGAATGTCCTTCATCAGATATACTCATGACAAACAGGAGATCAACTTGTTTTAGTATTTTTCTGGTATCTCTTCTTTCTCTGTTCACATTTATTTATGATCCTTCTTTGCTCCAATCCTTACTCTGCACCTACACGTGGCCAAGTTGCTGAAGAAAACATTGCTTGGAACTTGTATACCAAAAAATTGGTTGATTTAAATTATCATCTTTCTTGGAAACTTTTGTTCAATTATGTAGGTCAGGACAGAATTTCTCAGGAGTTGCTCTCTGAGAAGAGACAGAGCCACTTCACCTCCACTGTGCTTGCGGAGTATGCAGTTGTCCAAAAATTAAAAGTATGTATGCAGAATGTGTGCCAATATTGTCCTCTTTTAGAATAAACCACAAAAGAGCATTTTTACCCTTGGGGAATCATACTTGGGACACAAATGTGGAATAATTCTAAAAGCTTTTTGTATTGAAAAATAATTTCATGGGCTGTTTAGGAGGAGACAGTTATAATTTACTGTCCCTTCTAATTCTGTCTCATGGTTGAGAACTTTCCACATTCTCAACCAGAAAGAGATTCAGTTTTTTCCATCTTTTGGCAGTATTGGTTGGTTTAGTATTTTGTCAATGCCAAACAAACAAACAAAAAGCAGTACATTTTTGAGTGCTGCATGCATTTCAACAAAATTGGCCAAATCATCCAGAATGAAAAGTAAAGCTGAAACTTAAAATGCTTGGAAAAGTCTTCTAAGATACCCTTTTTTTCATGTTGAAATTTCTTTTCTACAGAAATCAAAATGTGATCACTAATGTATATTGAGTATGTTTTTATAATGGGGTATTTGCCTACCAAAAGAGATTTTTTTATTTATTTTTTTTAAATTCTGTTTTTCACAAGTGACTTGGTCTGGAGAAAAAACATATTTGGGAAATAAACAGTCTATCTTAAAAAAGTTAAAAAATACTTTTTAGGTAGACTTTTTCTTAATAAGCTTTTCAATTCTTCAAACAAACAGTCCTTAAGGTTAAGAATGTTTTAGGTGGGGTTCTTGGGTATAGATTTATAAACTATTACTAGTCCTTGTGAACCATTAAATGATAGAACAGTTCCTTCTCTTTTTGTTCTTCAGCATGGATGAGGATATTTATCTTCCCCATCAGTGAAATATTCTTAAGATATACAAAGAGATTTGACCTCAGCCATGACTTTACTATTATTAATGCACATTATTTGCATACGAGCAGTACCCATGAGCTACAGGCATGGCCTACATTTTATACAGTATTAGAAATAGAACAGAAGATATGTTATGTAGCCTTCAAGTTGAAGAAGAAGATGAGAGTCAGCAGGTGGACAAAGGAAGATGAAGAAATGGGAGAATAGTATCATTCTGTCAGTATGGTAAATGGTATTCTCAACACACCACCTGGGCAGCTGGTTTGTGTATTGTTTATGGGGATGCTAGAACAAAAACTAGCTTTTCAAAGGGAGATATGACAAACCCAGGCTTTCAGTTATTTGGAGGCAGCTCCTTCAAGCATAAAGTACAGGAAAAGTCAATTCCATCTGAAATTATTACTTCTGAAAATTTAATGAGTAGGAGATGGAAGTTGATGCCATTGTCTGCCCTGAGTCTGCATCTTGTCAATAAGTCTATTCATTAACCTCTTCCAGGTGAAGGGAAAGGTCTTCCTGAATTTCAGGTAGAAAGGAGTCTTTGTCACATTGACAGAGGTCTTGATGACAGTAGTTTTACATTGAAGGTCCCACCTTAAATTGCACAGTGTTAATCTTGTTGAGAACAGGGTGAGAAAAAAACTCAGGTTTGTTGACACTGAGTGCATAGATTGAAGTGTCTTTAACGTGAAGGTCTGGCACACATAATTAAATTCCTGTAAATTTATTTGAAGACCGTATGGTGTAAAGATGATGTAAATTTGTCAGCATTGTGCCTTTTTCAGATTTGGAAGACAACGTATACCTCAGTACCACCAGTGCTTTAATTACCTCAGTAAGCATGATGCTTAGTGGCATTTTTTGTTAAAATGTCCTAATTAGTCTTCTCTATCTAGTAAGCACGTGAAGGTTTGGCTTATGGCTTATTATATTGCTCATTATTGTGAATGATAGGGCAACTGTATAAAGCCTCCAGTTTTACGTTGCAACATAGTTATTTATGAAAAGGCCTTACCCCAGAGATGGAGATAATGATAATTACATTTAATCTTTTCATGGTTTATGCAAGTTTTTGCAGTAAAACAAATGCCTGTAGGACACTAATTACTGAGACGGGAAATGTAATACACTACCAGACAGGCTTACTGGAAATATGTGAACCTGAGGTTACATTTTTCAATATCCCTGGTATCATTAATTTTCTTCTGCATGTATGTACTTTTCTTGTGCTTGGCTTCATGACATATGCATATTCTATATGCACATTTATTGCTCTGTTTTAGCAGCTTACAAAGATGGACAGGAGAACTACAAAAAGCTACTTGTTTAGCACTGCTAGCTGTGGCTACTGTTGCTGTTTCTGCACCAATAAGGGCACAGAGACTAACCTTTAAACAGGAAGAGTGGTGAAATGGCCTTGTTTTAGGTGATGGCTAAGCTGGAGGGAATGATTGGTTTTACAGAATTTCTTTGTTCAGTGTTTTAGTGTGGATGGTATTTGCAGCATTCTTAAGCCTGAGTTATTGCTAATGGCTTCTTTCTAGTTTCAGTCAACAACGCCGTGCTCTGGGAGACTGGGCAGCAGGTCACAGTGCAGAGTGAAGAAGCATTCATCAGTATGTGAATGGTGTCAGTGTTTCCATTCTGTTTCCGGTGAGGCAGTGGTCTCTTGCCCTAAGAATGTCACCTGGACTGAAGAAAGAATTGTAAGTTTTACTGAAGAAGTATTTGCAGGATGCCTGGGTACGTGCATTTGGGAAATTGATGAATAATGCAACACAGGTAGCATTTCATTATTTCTCTTGTCAGTTGCCATCCCATGGTTTAATATTTTGAAAAGTGATTTTTATTTTGATTTCCATATACATCTTTATATCTGTCCAACTGCACTGCTGGCAAGACAAGGAGGTAACACAGACTGGATGAGGAGCTGTTCTGATTTAATCTTGGGTAACTCTTGAGTGTTACTTCACCAGTTTAAAACAGTGCTGATGGATCACTGTTCACTGAGAGTGTGTAGTTAATAAAATAGAAACCAAGAGGCCAAGAGCAAAGAACAAAAATATACAGATTAAAAAATTGTTACCATATGCCATTATTTTTGTTGTTGGCACTTAGCTTGTCTAAGGAAATAGAGCAGAACTTAATGAAGGGAATCATTCTTTCGGTTGCTCTGGTTCCTCAAGAAGAAAGGGACCTTGGCAACACCAGGCAGAATCATCTCTCTGAGACTTTGAGCCTTGCTTACCTGAAATGCATTTGAAGATATTAAATCAAATCTAGTGTATATCCTACCATGGTAATGTAATTTTAGCCCAGATGTCACAAGGAAGTACACTATCCCTGAACAGTGATGTTTTGATCATTCTCTTTAGGATAACATCTTGTACCTTATTACTGATGCCCGCTGTCCTGATGCTCAGACAACCACAGATCTCATTTGCAGGCAGTGAAACCAAGCGATGCATGCAGCAAGCTCGTTCTTCTTTTTGCCATGGTACTCCACAGTATCCAAAATCTTGTAAAATGTCTGTCTTCAGCTGCTAAACGTAGCACAATGTGACTTTGTTCACTAGAGTTATAATTTTCATTTTCAACAGTATTTAAAAATTTGATAGAGAAAAGAGTTAATGGAAGAGATTATTAGACTTTTTATTTCTCTATAAACCTGAGTCACAGTAAAAGGAATGCTTTGGATATAACATTTTTACCCTGTATCCATTGACAGTGTCAGTAGTAGTGTTTTAAATCTTGTTTTTATGAGTGGAATATTATGAAGGGAGAATAACTTCTTAAGTAAAGAAATCTATTTTATTGTTTAAGTTATGATCTCATTTTTCCTCACATTTCTCATCTGTGGTTTGCTTTTGGTGACAGGCTTTTTTATACGCTCAAAATGTACATAGCTTAGTTCAGCAATTCTTTATTCTTTAAGCAAGTGACTAGGGAAGATGCTGAAAACTTAAATAAGTAATAGTAAATAAATAATAGTAAATATGGATTCCACTTATTCAGTGTTCTGATGGAAATAGAACTTCTGATTTCTCATGGGTGTTTTTTTGTTGGGTTGGGTTTTTTGGGGTTCTTTTGTGTTTTTGTTTTTTTTTTTACTACTAATTGAATGTCTTTGGTTTTGTTATTAGTAAAATAGAAGATTTAATGGAAAAGAGAATGAGATTTTTTTTTTTTCAGCCTTAACTAGTTTAAAGCATTTGCACTCCTAATTCCTGGCTTTCTATCTGAAGGTGCATAAGGCTGAATCCAATATTTATTAGCATGCTCACAGGCCAGGTTGGATCCTCAACTGTTCAGAGCTACCTTAATGAGAAAAAAGGGGATATGTAGCCGTCCTAGAAAAAGACATTGTTCTTGCTACAATGAGCTGCATGGATGCAGAGAAGGATTTCAAACAATTCCCCTCAAAATCTTATGGTGTTTAGTTGTCATACTTTAGTTCATTATGAGACTTGCATACATTTTACCTACTGGAAATCAGAATACTTTAATTAAACTAGTGCGATTTTTTACTTTTAAAAACAGCAGGAAGCCGTACAGTGCTCTAAACTGCAAGGATTAATATGACACTTAGTGTGGCATTGGCTGATAAATCCATAATAATGTCGTTGTTGGTCCTGTAAGTACAAAGAAGTACATGCATTAGGAATGGACTTGATGTTGTTTCCCTGTTGAAAATCACGTAATGAACAATTACTGAAGAATAGTCCGCTGAGAAAGCCTGTATTTTTTCTTTATAATATCCTGAGCTTTCTAGTGTTATTTAATTTAATCTCTTACTTTAAAATGTTATTTCTATAAAACAATTTCTCTTTGCAAATCATTCAAGGAAGTTCCCATAGAATCATACAATAATTTGGATTGGAAGCAACCTTTAGAAGCCATCTCTAAACAGGAAGAGAATAAGCAAAGTTATTAAATCATGTGGAAAATTATGTTTGAAATATAAATTTTTAAAGCAAAAAGCATTATAATTACTTTCTTCATATATTTTTATATCTGTGTCATAGAAAATGAACTTATTTTATCCTGCTTTAGTTTATAGATTTTTCTGAAAATGAAATTGAGAACTAAGCTCATGGTGGCGGCTGTAGCCATTGTGTGAAGTTTGGAACAAACTCTGGAAACCCACTTAGAATGTCTTGGCCAGAAAAGGTAAGAACTGAAATGTTTGGGGTTTTTTAAATCCTTTTCCTGTGTTTAGCTGTGCTAAAGGGTAAAGGCCACAGACACTCCATAGGAGAAGGGTGTTACAGTCTCACTCATGATGACTTACAGAGATGGTGAGTGGGTTTAACCAAAAGTTAGAGGGCATTTGGTCTTTTTTTGACAAGCTGTAGTTCATACTTTAAACTGTAGGTACATCCAGAAAGCCAGGCAAGGACCTAGGTTCAACTCAGTGACATTGTGTTTTTGACTTAAGCTGAGGGGAAAATCTCTTTTTTCTTTGGGGCTAAAATGGGACTTTAACCTACATTGGAGCAGTTTTAAAGAAGGCAGTATGCATTCGCTGAAGTAACAAGTATTTTTTTAGACTGTCGCTCGGTTTCCTGTAAAAACATTGTGCCTGCCTGGAGCCCGTTAAATAGGGAAACCATTAAAATGCTTCTACCCTTAACTACATTAAACTTTTCCTGACAAATCTATTGGCACAGTCAATGAATGACCACATGGCAGTTATCCTAACATATCCCTTATTTTTGGAATATAGAAATCAATTTTGAGAGAAAATAGTAGGCAGGTTACTGGAAGAGATGATTTTATGAAATAAAAAGCATAAGGTAAATTTTCAGTAAATCTGTCTATTGTTGTTGGTCTGTTTCCATAAGAGCATCAGAAATACTTATTTAAAACTAGAAATTATTAAGTTACAATGGCTTTAATCATTAAGAGTTAATGGAACATCCTATTATGTCGTATTATATTCCTGTAAACCTATTGTATTTTACCCTTACATCTTCTATCTCTATTTCAAAATACTCAATAGAAATAGTTAACTATAGAAAAAATTAATCCTTGTGATGTATGAAGTCAGACATAGCTTCAACCCTCCTAATTTTCATCTTAAAGACTTTATTTACGTAACAAAAGATTTATGTTTTTACGTTTTTATGTGGACCTGTAAATAGAGATGTTGAAAAGAGTCAATTATGCAATAAAAATTTTATTAAGATCTGAAACAGCAGCACAGGACAAAAATATTTCCTTGTAAATTTAATACGCAGCTTGGAGAATCCACATACCGGATCAGGCCTGTGAAACACATATACATTGAAATAGAAGAGACAGTCCATTTAAAATGTAGGAAAGACTCTAATACAGAACCTCAGCAAATTGTACTCTTGAATAGCTAATATGTGGTTCTGATATAAACTGAGTGACTATTCCTTTTGCAGATAGAAAGTGAGCAAGATCGATGTGTTTGTAGTGGCAGAATCAGCCGCAGAGTATCACTGCTAACAGAGGAAAGGACCATACATACTGAGAAGATCCATAAGGGGAGAGAGCAGAAGACATGTATAGTGCAGAGAACAATGTTCGTTTAAGACTGAGATGTTTCTGTGACAAAATCTCAGGACGTTCTCAGATTTTTACATCACTGACGTTTGTTCTAGGTTGGTTAAAAAAAAGCAGTAGGAGCAAAAAAACTTGGAATATTATGTCTTGTTTACGTGAAAATATACGGAATCACTAAAAAAAGGAGCTGGGAAGTTTACATAAAGAAAATGAACAGTAATGCATTAAGTTAATCCAGAGAAAAAGATAATGATTATCACTTTATGAAGTGATGCTGCACTGTAAAATTCAGCTGCTTAAGTAATTTTTCAATAAGAGACTTAGTTCTAATTATCATAGTTCTAATTTGTCAGTATTCTTGTTAAATATACTATGGAAACCTGCATCCAGTGCAAAATTGCACTGTTTTTTTTTCAGTTGCTGGTAGTTCTGAAACAGAGTATCTATTTATTTCCTAGCATTAATATTGGATATCTGAAACATATTAAACTGTTTCTGTAGTTGTTTTTAATTTGGTAGATAATTATTTAAAATTTTACAGAGAAGACTTTCATCTGGGGAACTTATTGCTCTATTGCTTATTCCTTGTCCAATAGCTAAACCCCATGACTACTAACAAAAGCCTCGCTTTAAAATACTTTGAGGAAAGGAAGAAAAATCCAAAACATTTTCAGCAGTGAAACAAGCCAGTTCCTAACAGCAGATGTCATTCTATCTCTATTTTAATGCCAGTTCCTACTGTTCTCAGTATATTTTTTTCAAATAACAAATTGCAGGTGGAAATGGGGGAAACATTTATGTTTAACTTTCTTCTGATTAATGCACAAGTCTGTATCTTTTCTTTCAGTAATGTGAGGTGTCAGAGTGTGAAATTGTAAGTTCCTGATGCAACTGAGGCTGATAAGCTTTTGTCTTTTAGTCACTCATCCATTAGTACTATTTAATTTATTTATTTGTTTGTACAAGGGATTTGTAAGCTTTGCATTTTGCATGTTTTTTCTTTCTTTTCTTTATTTTTTTTTCTTTTTTTACAATTTCCTTTTTCTTTCTGAGCAGGTTTGCTTGATGCTGCTCCCATAGTTCTTATCCTTTCCCTTCTCAAGATGTTAAGGCCACATACAAGAACAGGGTTGTAACCCTGGGGAGACACAAAGACTGCTGCCCAGAATCACACAAGAGAAAGGTCTGAGACCACATGGAAAGAGAGGTTTGATATTTGTTTTCTGAATAACGATATTGTTAATTAGAACCCAAACACAGAGCCCTCCTGAAAAATGTAGCAAATGGAAAGAATTCAATTTACAGTGAGGATTTTGCAGTCTTGCTAAGGTAAGCGATTTGAAATTAGTAATTTCATTTCTTTCCACAGATATGTAGTGACTGTCTTGAGGATAATGTGGGCAGAGGGCCAAAACATTGAGGCTTTGAGGAGCCTGAATCGCGCTACCCTTTTAATGCTCACAACGGCATGTTCTAGTGAAAGCAGGAAGAAACCAGGCAGGCAGTTCATTCTATAGCTGGCGTAGCTCAGGTGCCAGGACCATCAGGCTCTTTGGCAGCCATTGTTTCATCTGGTCCTGTTCTGTAACACAGAGACCCCCTGTGTTTTGTTAGCCACTGAGCTGAGGAGCTGAGGCAGATGCTCTTCAAGGTACATGAACTATGCTCCAGCACCAAACTTGCAATCCGTGGTCCTAAAGGAGTTCTTATTGAGTCAGATTAATAATACCTGATTTTCTGCAGAATCAATAACAAACACAGGAACAGATGAAAAACAGACCTAACGGGTGAACTTGAAGATGGGAGATTCTTAATTGGTTTACAAAAGTAAGGTTTTAAATGAGGGTGGAAGAATAAGAACTATAAAATCCTCACAAAGTTTCATTATATTTAAAGTTTTTTCTGTCCAACCTCTTCTCAAAGGCTTACAATCCACACCTTTAAAGGTTAGGCTGAATGGCAGTCTTAATATATTGGCTTGGATCTTATCAATGCCACTGCAG